ATGCACGAGCATTTGTTTAGAACCCTGTTTTCTATGGTAAACAATTGAATAGAGCCAAAACCATTCGACACGTGATAAGAGAATTTTAGCTCTGTCGTTCTCTCTCTCGCTCTCTTTTATATATATATATTTTTTTTTAATCGAGAAGGAAACAATAAAGCTTTCAACTTCTGAATCAAAGCGTGTCGAGTACGATGAGAGAACTCCTCCATCCCGCGAGGTTTGCGCTCTCGAATCTACGCCCTGCCCCTCCCTCGTCGCCGCTTAACCCCCACCAATCCATCCACCCACACAGAGAAAGAAAGAAAGAAAAGTCGAGCATCTCTGAGTATTCTTGGCGCGGAATTCCAAGGCTATTTAAAAGGAGTCCTATTTGAATAAGACAAATGAAGACATCGTCGGGGCTGATACGACAGCGAGATTTCTTCCTCTCTCTCCCTCTCACTTTTGCGCAGCTTGTGCAGATTGAAGCTGTAGATCAAGCGGACCGGCCGTGAAAAGGACGGTGGAAGGAGAAAAGCGGAGTATTGAACCGCGTCGATTGATTACTATCGTTACGTGAACAATGGCATCGCTGTCGTAGCCTAACGACGGCGCGACGCCGCCGACTTAGGAATATCGAAGGGGATTAAGGTGCCCGCGCCTTAGCGCCGCCAACTAACAAGCTGGCAATACCTTTGCAACATTGTGCGATGAAAACTATTCTCACCCGCGCCGCTGCCGCCCACGCAAATCTCGTACGCTTCACGTCAGAACGGCTCCGATTGGCCGATTCGTTGATACGGGCGCCGGGACGTTGCAGTGGAATGAAGTTATGTTAAATTGCTAGACGCACTGTTACTTTATTCCTTGTTGTCAGATATGATTTTTGCTTTATGCACAATCCTATTATGTTCCAAAGTCTATTTCACTTGGCTTTAAGAAGGCGAACTTCTTTTGGAAAGTTAAGAGTTTTTATGTTTAAATACGTTATATTATATAAAGTATAAAGAGTGCGCATTTCGAGAGGCAATATCGAGGTTCTTTATTAAATTGTACGACTCCTTTTCAGTGAAAATTATCCGTCCGTGCATTATAATACGTATATCTTCATCATATTTATGAAACATCTTACGAGTAAACATAGCATCAACAACTTTCAATTGTAAGGCTCAATATATATAACTCATTGTACTTTAGAAGCAGCCTATTAAGCTCAAACTATAAATAATATATAATTGATCTAGTAAGATTTTCATATACACACACATAATTTATAATATATAATAAAGCTAAATTATAGTATTGTTAAAGTTCCAATATAACGATTAAAGCTTCAAAAAGTGAGCATTCATTTCTGTGTTCATTATTTGCATTGACAACGTTCATTATTCAATCGATCATATTAAATTTAGGAAAAGTAATAGATTTAAACAATTTAGAAACAATAATTCATTATTAACAAGCGAATTGGTTTGATTTTTCAAATTAATATAATAGAAATATAATAGTCGTAGGATAATATGCATTGGAAATCGATAAGTTGCACGAGTAATAATTATATAAAAGCGTTATGAGTGATTAATTATTGTATTTTATAATCGTTCGAGTATGTTGAATGGAACTTAATTATTTCTATTTTCCTTGCTTCTGTACTCTAGATGTAAGCAAGCATTAATGAATGCTCTCGGAAGATATCATAAAATATGCTAATTATCAATAATATGGGAATCTCGATGACGAGAAACTTTTAACAATTACTCATTAATGTGCCAAGAGACAATAAAAAGTTATTGAATGTTATTATCAAAGTTAATCCGTAACGACGAATTATGGAGAAGAACGTTTGACCTGCTCGAAATAACAATGCAATTCAAATTTGCGGTCAATTTTATCTTATCTTAAACATTGTAAAAATAATTTTTAACATTAAAAATAACGCATTTGTTCGCTTGGGCGGGTTGTTGATGAGCCGAATTTTACCTTTATTCTGTGATTTAATAAACTTTCATAGAGTAAATTGTAAAGCTATAGAAGCTTACATTAATGCATATTGTTTTGCATATTCCATTTTAATAGGCTTTAACTCATAAGAAACAAGAGCCATTACAATGAATTATAGGCTATTGGATTCATTATGGGACACAAGAAAATGAGAACTGCATTAGTAGTCAAATTTATGTTTCGCAAAATTAATGTTTTTTCCGCAAGTAGGAATGGAAGATTATTTAACAGATTCCACCATCGTGCCATTATTAATTTACGCTAATATAATAAAATGAGGCAAATTATTAGAATTATTAATACGTCTTGTGGGGAGCGCGATGGAGGATGCATGACTTATTTAATATTCGGCTACATCGAAATATTAATTTGCACTCGTTTCTCATCCATTGAACGATTCAATGGCATTGGAAAGGTCGGTTATCGTCTAAAAAAAAAAAAAAAAAAAAAAAAATTATGAAACTTCTTAGCGACAATGATTTATTTAGATTTTAAAATTATTTGATTTTTCTCCCGCTTATGCTTACCACGACATAAGCATCCTCCATTAATAATTCTCATCGACTAATCTCAAGTCCCAATTCTAAATCCATTGGCCATAACCATCATCGTCCATGACAATTCACGTATCTCTTTATTATCGCGCGAGACACCTAATGCACGCTCTCCAGCTAAATTAATTTCCATAAATCGCCAACATCATCGCTCCAATATAAACAATGACGACCAAATAAATAAAGAACAATTAAATGCATTTATATACGAAGCAGTTGTCGGTGCGCGAACAATCGTCGGAGAGTTGGCTGTGTGCACGTATAAATATATCCGGTGCCACGCGGTGAAGCGGCCGCGCATTATCATGCAAATGGGGCGGTGTGCGACGCAAATTGAAAAAGAGTCGAATCCCCAAGTCGGGCCCTTAATCTCTAGCGCAGTGACACGGGCGAGCGCGAGGAGACGTCGTTCAAGGTGCCTCGGCTTTAAAGGGATTTTTTCGAATTAATCTTTCTTATAATTTGTGGCCGATTGAAAAGAGGCTCGTGGTGCATTTGTCAAAAGTTGAGTTACTAACGCCACCTTTTGTTTGCTTTGTACCGCGCTTTTATGGATATTTATATTCATGCATTCAATTGCAAATATTATAGCTCTCTATATTTTAAGAAATCAAATTGCTATATTATTGTTGCACTCCCGACGACTCGCTTTGAATATTTTATCAATTTTTTATTCGTTTGCCCGGCGAACAATGGAACCAGCCGCATCCTAAGCGCTTTACGCGAATCACACCGTTTTCTCGTCGTCCTTCTCATCTCGCAATCTCGAGGGACAAGACTTTGGCTATTATGCCAATATTTTTTTACCCTTCTAATTGGTTATAATCGCTTATTATCGACGACTGCAGCCCCGCTCACTGACTCTCACTTCCTCTTGCCGTCTACGTCGCACCCCTGTCCCAATACGAACATCACCGCGAACATCTTTCACGCGAAAATGTAAATTGCCACGACGATTTAGCGAAGTTTTAGAAACGCAGCATCCGTATGCGACGAAGTCTATTATCATTTCGCTGACGATTGTTCAAACACGTCATTGACAAGCGCTTAATGCCTCCGGGTCGTCTTTAAACGTGAAACGCGTACGCGCGTGTACAAGCTCCCCCGTATCTCTTCATCCACACCCCACACACCCCCTCTAGTATCCCGTCGTCCTACCACGTCCCGTTGCCGTACCTCTCTCCGACCCGTCCTCCGTCGAGCATTTAAATAGTTCCGAGAACTCGAAACTCGCGCATTGTTCCACGACGTTATTTTCCTCGCCTATCAATCCGCCTCGTGGGACTCCTTACTTAACGCCAAGAGCACCCGAGAAGTTTCTTTGCAAATACATCTTCCCGGAATTATCTACATAATGCCAAGTCGCTCTCACCTCTCACTGGCTTATTGATTTTCTTAACGCGGCGTGCCTCGCGACCCACCAACAGTGCGCGTAAAACGCATTCGCCGACTCTTCGACCTGGTGCAATTAAGCGTCCGCGCGGTCATCCTCCGAACCGTCGCGCCATCCATCCATTCGTCCATACGTTCACGATTCGTCCAGTCGGATGGCGCCCTACCTGGGCCCCCTCGACCCCAATCCCGACCACTTTTAGATGCCAATGAAATGCTCGCGGAGCGTTGGTGCTCGCAGCCGCCACCGAGGCTCTCGGTTACGCGCTACGCGCGGCAATCGCCGTGGCTGCCTCGGGTGAAGGGTGGCGATGTACGGTGAGGTGAGGTATGGTGAGGGGGTGGTATATATATATATATATATATATATATATATATATATATATATATGTATGCATGTATGTATGTATATATATGTATATATGGGGGTGGGTGGGGGGTGGGGGTGAGGTTTGGAACAGGGCAACGACACGGGCTTTTCATTTCATTGCCGGGGGTGGCGAAGTCGCGTCCCGTCCACGTTAACGACGCCATCTACCGGATGCTGCGCAAGTCCAGGGACGCGTATTGAACAGCTCAGATGCGCGAACCTGGATGCGCCAATATTCCTGGATTCAGCAGCAGCTCCGGAGCCGCAGTACGCGTAAAAACTGTAATCCGGCCGGGGGACGAGACGCGACGAGCGAGCGCTGCGAGACTCCCAAATCAATCTTCGCGTTCGTCGTACGTGCGCCGGAGCAGCGGCCGATCGCCGGAGTGATTTAACGCGTAGGCTGCCGCCGGCCGTTACCCCGTTAGTATGTGCCCACGAGCGGGCTGAGAGCCTCCTCCCCGTGGACGAAACTCCCGTCCTCGTTCCTCGAGCTCGAGCGCGCGGCCGCCAGGCGCTCGTCATTTCCCGCCTGGGCCCAAGCTCGCCCACCCCGTCCCGTACCGCCCCGCCCCGCCCCGGGCCACGGGCCACGACCCGACCCTCTCGCCGCAGTGCGCGTCCCCCGAGTCCCGGAAACATGTAGAGCGAGCGTCCTCGCGTGCGACTGTCATTCGGCGATCAATCGAGCAGTAGTTATTTTAACCGATAGTGTCCGGACACTCGCGCTCGGGTTCGTGGCCAGCGTCGTTGCGAGAAGAGCCAGCAGCCCGTCGCGACGATGAGGTCGCGCGTCACCCTCGCCATCCTGGGCCTCCTCGTGCTCTGCGCGCTAATCGCGAGCTCGCAATCTAAGCTCCAGCAGCAGGCGACCGTCGAGGACGACGAGGAGGACGAGGACGACGAATGGGACGAGGACAACAGCAAGGAGAACAACTATCCATCGAAGCCGGAGATTGACGACGAGGGCCGGGTATACAAGAATCCGCGCAACTCGCCCTCGGCACAGTGTCCTCGCGACGAGGAGCAGGCCGAGATATTCGGCCAGAAGTGTCTCAGGAAGTGCTCGACCGATGAGGACTGCAAGAGCAAGAAGAAGAAGTGCCGGTGCGACGGGGCCTGCGGCATGTCCTGCATTAAGCCCGACCGCGAGTGCCCGGAGCCCATTGAGATCGAGCACGGGCTGATGGCCGTGAGCGGTCGCTTCTTTGGCGACAGGATCAACTATACCTGCGACCCGGGCTATTACGTCGTTGGCCTCGCGGAGCGTAGCTGTGGCGTCGACGGCCGCTGGTCAGGCATCACACCGAGCTGCAAGAAGGACCCCACCTCCTTCTGCACGACGCCCCACAAGTTTCCCAACGCCCGGCATAACGCGCTGCCGGAACAGACGACCTTCGAGCTCGACAGCATGGTCCAGTACTACTGCAGCCACGGCTACGTGACCAAGGGCTCGCCCAAGGCCAAGTGCCTCATGACCGAGGGGGCGGCAAGCTGGTACGGGCCGGACATCACCTGCGAGGCGAGGAGCTGCGAGCCACCGGCTGACATCGCCAACGGATGGCACGCCGGTACGCTCTCGCACCACTCACCCTGGCCTTACGCTTCTGGCCGACCACAGGGGACTCCTGACCACGAGGATTCCGCAAGTTGCTTTATCACCGAGCAATGCTCGCGCGACCATTCCATTATTCATTCATCCCGCGCATTCCTGGCAGGAGCCCATCCTCCCACGAATTCCGAGTCGACGAGCAATCGAGTACCGCGATGATAATAGCCAATCCACACGTTCCGTCGAATGTTGATGGATAAATGCGCGGGCGAACATTGTATCGCTGTGGTGGCCTACCAAAGGATATTTTTTCTTAAATCTCATTGGGACGGGAAGGGGTAGTTTTTTTCAGACATCCCTGCTCGGGAGCCTTCGGCGCCCGCAGGCTTTTCTCGCTCGCCTCGACAGCCTCGTGCTGGCGAAAAATTTCCATGAAAACATCGGCTTTGCCCTATAACCGAGCAGAATAAGACAGCAGAGCTATTATATCGGCAGCAGACATTTCCAAATAACTGCCCTTTAGTAATGAAGATGATTAAAATTCATATAAAATTCATAACTGCTATATGTCATACGGCAAACAATGGAAACGATCAATCTTTATTATTCAAAGCGATTACTTGTATTTTTACATTTATTAAGCAATAAGCGCGTGAATTATTTTTTACTAGCAAATGGCATATGAGAATGTTTAGATCCACGGAGGGATTAATTTGTACTTTTTGCGTCCTGCTTGATGAATTTCCCGGAAGTAATAATCGATTTCGCGGAATCTTTTCCAACAAAACAAAGAAATGAAAAAACAGCTTTAAAACTTTTGACAGAAACTACAAGATTCATAATACAATTCGTAAAAAAAAAAAAAAAACTTCCAATCATACTCATTTCCTAATTATAATTGGAATATCGTATAATTTTAAATATTACTTTCCCCTCCCCTCTCTACGATTTATAATTCAATAATTGATTCGTTAATCGGATGCTAATACATTACGAAGGCTACCCTGATAAGCATTGGTTATTCAATTCTTTTTCCATGCACGTAAAGCTGCGTTAACTGCACGCACACGCTCAATTCTAATAGAATAACGACAATTGTAATTCTGCTTCATAATTAATAGCATCGGAATTAACATCATAATGATTTTTTAGCTATAAGTGGTCCGTATAAGATATTACCGCGAGAAATGATAGAAGGACAATTTAAAATTTGTGCTGAGGAATGGTTGTAATGCGTAACAAAGAATTGCAAATTATGTTTGAAGGGGAATGTTACAAATACGATTGCCACGTCTCGTATCATTGTGCTGACGGTTACGAGTTGGTGGGGAAGGCCGAAAAAATTTGTGTCGCTGATGGCACATGGTTACCTGCCGAACTACCGAAATGCGTCGAGGTTCAACAACATTTTACATTATCATCTCTTATTAAATGTGTTTAGTGCTGTATAAAAGCATGCCGCAACTTTCATAAATAATGCACTCTCCATTGCACGATACAAATTTGACTTTTTACAAACGAGCGAGCCGACATTGGCGACCTCAATAAACCTCGTACATTTAACGCTAATCTCTGTGACGAATGAGCGTCCCGACGCTTCGCATGCACACAGCAAATTAAATCAAACAAGTCCCTTTAAATGAACGAGCCTGTCAAAATAATTTGAAAATTATCCACCACCCCGCTTGATCCCCCCCCTCCCCCTCATCCTCCCCCTTCCCACCCCACCCCCCACGCATTAATCCAACAGCCGAATAGCCTCTCTTAAAGCTTAACTTGGCACATGTTCTCGCATCTTCGGCATCTCCAAGCTGCACCTCCAAGCTCCACTCAGTCCCCCTCCTCAGACATCCCCTACTCCTCCCCCCCCTCCCCCCTCCTCTCCGGCCCTTCCGTACACCACCTCAACGCGTCGGGGCTTTCAGCATGCAAAGTGCTTTGTCGCGTAATTGTAGGATGAAGATCAATTTGCGCTTCCAGGTGACATCGGTCGAGTGCGATCTACCCGAGAATCCAGTAAACGGCAAAGCCATTTACACGTCCTACGCTTACAATTCCGTGGTGTCGTATGAGTGCAAAACTGGTTACACTATCGTTGGAGCGGCGACACGACGATGTAGCGCCGACGGAAAATGGACGGGCCAGGCGCCAACGTGCAGGGAGATAAACTGCGGCTCCCCCGGCGTACTCTATAATGGCTGGATCGACAATATCGAGAACGGTAAATAGTTTCTTTATTCAGTGGGTGCCGACATTATAATAGTGGGACGCTCCCGCCCGGCCGAAATATCGTTATCGAAGAATTGCCAGACATCGTCATTGGCTTCGGGCCCTAAATTAAGATGTGCTTAAAGATAGCGATCGCGCGTGTCGCTGCATATAAATTTTCCTTTTATAATTCACTCTTTACGGCGTCACCGCCGCTATTTCCGTCTTGTTTATCGATCGGCACTGACGCTCCGCTTCAGCCCCGAGCCTCCGCTACCCGACCGACCGCATGATCGGTCAGGCTACGGAGACGGGCGACGAGTGGTCGGTGGGCGGGTGGAGGGTAAGAGTATCGCGTAGCTGCTCGAATGCTAAAATGCGACGCGATCCCGCACCCCAGCAACGTTCGCTACTGTTGACAGGGACGGGCATGGGCTCGAGCCTCATATTTCGCTGCAAGGAGCACACGAAGCTCGAGGGCCACAGCTCGAGCCTCTGCCAGATGGACGGGAAGTGGAGATACCCGGTGCCCCAGTGTCTGGCGCCCTGCATCGTGCCACAAATCGCCCGGGGCCGCGTGTTCGTCGCCTCGGACGAGCGCGACCACATCAACAACGTCACGGTGGCGGAGCACGGCAAGGGGCTCGCGGTCGAGTGCGTCAGCGACTACGAGTTCGCGGCCAGCGGCATGCCGGTCGTCTGCAACAACGGCACCTGGTCCATCGTGCCCTCGTGCTCGCCCGCGAGGTGCAAACAGATGCCGAAGCCGCCCAAGAACGGTATGGTGATCGCCCCCAAGACAGATCACGGCATGAAGGCCGTGTTCAAGTGCAAGGACGGCTTCGAGCTCGTCGGCGGCGGCCCTTACAACAACTCGTACGCGGTCGAGTGCCGATATGGAAATTGGACTGGCGATCTGCCGCACTGCATCGAGGTCTACTGCCCCTTCCCCGGCTACGTGCAGAACGGCAAAGTCCTCCTCGTGGGCAACATGGGCGTTTACGACTATCGCCCGTACGTGAAGAAGGTCGTGAATAACAAGCAAATAATGTACGACTGCGACAAGGGTTACTACTTGAGCGAGGGCCCACCGGGCGCAACCTGCATCGGCGGCTCCTGGAGCCCCAAGGAGCTCCCCAAGTGCACGCTCGGCCAGCATCCGCGGATCCGCTGGAACAGACGGCGCAGATCCGTCGGCGAGCAGAGGAACGAGACGGTAGTAGCGGCCTACCGAAAGTTCATCGACTTCTTCCGCAAGATTGGGAGGAAGCTGCTCGAGCTCGAGATGGAGAAGAGCCACGAGGCATTGAGCCACGTCGACGGGGAGGAGGGCGCCGGGGCGGGGCGCGCGCCAAACGGCAACGGGACGAGTAGCAGCAGCAGCAGCAGCAGCAGCAGCAGCAGCAGCGCGGTCGGGCCGCGTAACGTAAGCAGAAGCCGCGGCGCCCATAGGAATAAGCCGCGGACCAAGGACGAGAAGATGATCGATTTTCTGAGAATCGTCTACCGGAAGTTACAACGAATCGACTCGCGGCACGCGAGCAACGACACGAATGTCACGATGCACGAGCTGCTGAACGTGATGAGCAAGAACTTCTTTCACGTGGATTTGGCGGAGCCGCGGAGGAACGCCTCGGCGAAAGGCCACGAGAGCTTCGAGACGAAGACCCAGCGGGAGTTCACGAAACTGAAACGCGAGTTCGAGAGAATCATGAAGTTCTATAATAAGTCGCTGCGCTGGAGCGAGAAGCACTTGCGCAAGGATCTGAGGAAGAAGAAGAAGGGCCAGGGCCACGCCGAGAGAGACAAGCAGAAGTCAAGGGAGGCCGAGAGGAAGAAACAGCACAAGTCGCCCAACTATTACAAGGGCTTTTATGAATTCATAAATGATTACGTGACGCAGAAACTGTCGGCCTTGGAGGCGCAGAACGCCACGGAGGAGCTAATCAGAAAAATGAAGATCGACAAGATATCCGTGAGGAATGGCACGATGTTCACGGTCGGAGAGATTTACGCGTTCTTCAAACATATCATAGAGACTAAGCTGAACGCGTCTAAAGTGGAAAACGAGACGACGGGCGCGAAGCCGAGGAAGCCGTTGGGGAAATCGATCGCCACCTCGGCAAAACCAACGGCCGACGTGAAAACGTCGCGGGCAACGGAAGTGACAACAGCGGACGACGGGAGTACGATGACGGAGAGCGGCAAGCTCGCGGTGTCGGAGAACGAGATACCCACCTTGGAAATTGATAATAACGAGGCGAAGCTCCGGAACAAAAGGATCCGTGACGCCTCGTCGACAAAGCCACCACCGACAGCCGAAGTAAGACGAAAGCTACTATCTATCAATCATCCATTGGCGGACGATACGCCTCCCAAGCTCACCATGAATGATAATTATCAGGCGCAGTTGACACGGAAGGAGTCGGCGATTCAGCAGCAGAGCCGCACGAAGCGTTTCCTCGCGTCCGCGGAACTGGCTAATCGAATGTATCTTAAAAATTTCTATCTCAACGCTTACGAAGACGAGTACAAGGCGAACGTGAAACGTTCCGCGCCTCGGAATAATCAGGCGAACTGGTCGGATCGGGTGGTTAGAAGCTCGCAGGATCAGCGGCAGCCGACGAGGCACGAAAACAAGTGAGAGCAGCATCAAATGGTTTTATTGTGATATCGATGGAATTTATTGGTAAATTAACCGATTAATAAGCAACTGATTTTATGCGATTATACAAATTATTATACACTTATAGTTAATCTGTTTCCCATTTTCGTCGTTAGGCGCACTGTAACGTGTGTACATGACGTTTTTCTTTTGTTTTTGTTATTGTTTTTTTTGTTTTTATTTTGTTTTTTGATGATAAATAAAATCTTTTCAATACACAACTGACTGAAGATTTTAATGACGCATGCCAATTCAATTAGGTTCCGTTGTTCCGAGCCCCTTTTATTTTGACAGCAGAAACTTCACTTTTAGCCTGTAATTCCGTAGGCCACTTTGGCATTCATTCATTGTACGAGATTTAGAAATGTCGATTGACTTGTTATTTAATTATAATTTTGACAAATGTGATAAATAAAAAATTTATTTCAAATTATAGATTGTAAGATTATTAATTTGTCGAATAAGCGCGTGAGTTGCGATGGGGGTTCGGCTGCAGCTGCAAACGAGCGAATCAGTCGAATCATTACCTACCTCCATGGGGCTCATTATGCACCGAGCCAATTCCGAGACAAATCACGCGAATCAGTTTTGCGACCATTGCGAGTGTTGACTTTATCATTCTCTCTCTCTCTCTCTCTCTCTCTCTCTCTCTCTCTCCCTTCTCTCTCTGTTTTTTATCATTTTCTTTTTCTTAACATTTTATTAGCGCGTGTAAGAAGGTCGAATAAAAATAATTGAGACACGTAGGAAGGGAAATGTATCGTGGAGAAAGTAGGAATGAAGGATTTGCGTGCAATTTTTAATATTCTCCCGGCACGACCGGGGTAATTAAAGTTGAAAATAAACTTCAGATTGCATAGTGATCGGCAAGTATGCCATTTAAATACGAATGTACTCGTGCCGATTGCTCGCCTACAGACGAATGTCTGGCTCATCTGTCAGTAAAGAGAGTGTCATTAATTACGAACCAATTATAATTTGAGAACGAATCAAGGATCTCGATGCAGACGTACGAATGGCCCAATCGCGTCATACATCTCAAAGTTTGTGCATTCATAATCCTCATCTCCGCTCCTTAAAGTGAATCCAATTGAATACCCGATGTCAAAACAATTTCCACATACTCGTCCAAAGCACACACCCGTACACACGCACAGACACGCGCGCGCGGACGCAAAAAATAATCTATCTCACTGATTTATCATTGATTATGCCACGGATTATTTATTTTTAATTGTATAGCTCGTCTCCTTGAAATTTAGTATTAAAACTTAATCTTATTTATCATGTTTCGCATATTATGTAGACGCAGACAAAAAATCTAATGTTTCCTTTTTATTTCTTCTTCTTTTTTTTTCGATGCTGTACTAAAATTTCGAGCTTAAATTATCGTATTAATAAATATTAAATCATCGAAACAAGTTACACCAGTTTAACGTGAAAAACAATTTTGAAATTGATATACCAAATAAAAGAAACATTTACATCCTGCAGTTTTAACAATCTATATATATATATATATATATATATATATATATATAAAATAAATCAACATATGTGTTCGTGCAGACGTGTAATTGATATAAAGAAATTCAAATCAATTAAGAACGTTACTAATTAAATGAAGAAGTATGATTAAAAAGACATCGAAACGTAAGATAAACATACATATATATATATATATATATATATATATATATATATATCAAGATTTTACATTTGCATTATTGGGAAAATTGTATTTGAAATAATTACAGGAAGTAGTATATCTTAGGATATATTATGAAAAATATAGAAAAATAAGAAAGTTTTTTCGAATAAATATCACATGTGATATTTTTTAAATTAGCGATACATCTTATAAAATATGTAAAATAATGTTCAAAAAGAACTTTCAACATGTATTAAATTATTATTATTCAAACAACATTTAAATTATTCGCAATTAATATAGATGAAAAGAAGTTTCTTTTATTGAACGTATAAACAGTAACAGTACTTTATTATTCATGCACGCGAGCTCGTGTATTTGCGTATGTGTGTATGCAATTCAGTGTATTTTCAATGCATATATTTACTTAATTATTTCGTACGTATGAAATTTATTTTTTTTTTTTTTTTTTTTGCAAGAATTCATCATTCCTCACTCTGACGAAGAAAGTTAAGAGTGCTTTTTGTATCTCATGAGTAGCATCGCACTTTCGGATAATCAGCTTTGAGAATACTGTTGAATATTTCTATATAATATACACGATATACATCTACTAGTTTAAGACAATCAAGCACTTTCAAACTATCAGTTACTTGCATAACATGTCAAGAGTGATAAGTGTACTTCTACGCCGGAAAAATATGCACATATAAAAGATTAAAAATGTCGATGAATACTTTTTCTGAAATTTGGAAATGGCTTTTTACTTTGGTGTTGATGAAAACTTTAAAAGTAATTTCAGTAATGGAATAGTCACATATTTTAATCGGGAAACTTTAATGTTATTATTTTGAAAAAATTTTTTACTACGTTGCCCATTTACATAAATGTAGATTTGAACTGAAACTTCGCCGTTGACATACATACGTATCAAATTATTATATGTAAGCTGAAAAAATGTTTTATTAAACTAATGTAAAACTTGAAACTCTTACTTATTTCAATCAATCATAAATTATCAAAATTTATTAAACGAAGGTAAAGTTTAAATTGAAATGGTAAATGGTAAACCTTTATGGCTATGCATCGCTGTGTTCAAATATTCCGTTGTCACTTGAACAAATTTACTTTCTCGCGCACAACAGGTTTAATGCAGATTATTTTCTATTATACATATCCACAGTCTGAAATAATGACTTTTAATGCTGCGTTCTTCATCTAAACGACACAGTCTGTATTACATTTCAAGACATACTCGATGCGAATGTCCCACTATTTTCATTAATTATGAACCATAAGGTGAAACATGGAAGATTCGCAAACTATTTATAATGATCTTTTCATAATATTAATAAGGTATTTAATGAATACTTAGCACATACAAAACTGAAATGAATTTGAAAACAAATTATTCGTTTAAAGATACGTCAAATCTATGTCTCATGCATATAATTTGCAATTTTTTTCACATTAATTACTACGCGCTCGTTACTTTACCACTACGCTACGTGAAAATAGGCAAAGTATAGCACAGTATCTTGGCACATTGTTAAAAAAAATTAATTAAATAAAAGTACGTTTACACGCACGTCTTTATGTTGATTCTCCAATGTCTATTATTAACCCTCGCATCTTCATGCTTCACCATTGTAAAGTCCCAAAGTACTGTATCCGTCGCGCGACAAAAGCCGTTAAAAATCTGCATCAACAGCGGCATCTCGTGACCCTCGTATCTTATACCCGAAAGGCAAAATAGCGTCAGCTTCATTCAAAAGAATGTTCGGAAAAGTGCGCGAGTCATTAAGTTTCTCTCCGCCAGGGACGCATTATGTTTTTCTCGCTCGTGAAATAAGTGCGAAAAATAGAAAGCCCGCGTGTCTCGCTTTGGCCCTTATCCGCGACCCTTCGTGCTTCAAACGCTCAAGTATCGCGAGCTACGCGTACGGTATCTCAATTATTTCCAACGCTATTCGGAAGATTAACGGCCCCGCGCAACTACTTCCGATCCCCATTACGAACGCGAGGATAATTAAACGAGCTGGAAATTTTCGCAATCGTGATCGGGTGAAAAATTAATACCCTCGTACCGCTCTACCTGGCTATCGCCGGCTTTCATCGGCGTTGCGTAACGTTGTCGCGGTGCACGGAACCTCGTACGCGTGTCCACGTTAGTCGAGAGACGAATAATATCGTTATGATAGAACAGCAGTTAGCCGGAAAATTTATTTAGCGGTGCCGGGAAAATGTCGAGGACCGTGCACTTATCACGGCCGCAGCTCGATAATGCCGAGGTTATAATGGCCGAGGCTCTCGCTACCGACCCCCTTTCGGCTACAAAAGGATTTTTCTTTTGCGAGGTAAGCACCTCGAGTTTGACTATATGCACCACGCAGCGGTACTTAAAATTTCTCTCGGCAGGTGCAAAGTACTAGTGCAGTGCCACGGCGTTATTAGTTCTGGCGTTGTGAGCGTCTCTCATCGATGAGTCTTCTTTCTTTTGCGCCGCTACCATTATTTGATCGCGCGACAACGAGCTCATTGGATGCCTGTGTTTTCACTGCTACTGGTGCTGATGTTGCTGATGTTGCTGATGTTGCTGATGTTGCTGCTGCTGTTTCTGCTACGTGTCGCTGGCACGTCGGTGTCACGACCGACGATAATCTCATTGAATCGAGTCGTTGGGAGAGGGGAGAAAGAAAGCACCCGAGGGCTTCCTGTCAATTCAAGGTGCCAAGTGACATATACCGGATTCAATGATCTTCCTGACGGTCAACGGTCTCTCCATCTACCTCTAAACCCCCCCCCCCTCACTCACTCACTCACTCTCGCCCTTCCTCGTAGCTCATCGTCACTCCCACCATCGATCCCTTCATTCCCCTCCCGCTCCAACTCCGTCTTCCTCGTTATTTCCTAGTCGCTCGATCTCTACGTCTCTGTGCCGTATTTACTGCGGCCCGAGGAACAGCAAATCTTTGCGAAGCTGCCCCCTAGCGCTTAAGAGGAATTTACGAGAATGAAGCCACCCGGCGAGCCATTTTGTCCAAAGGCTGGACCAAAGGGTGCACCTACCGAGCGATACTCGAACGCCTTCGAATGAGATCGAGTGCACAAAGGGCCGAGTATAGCTCGCCGGGATGAATCGGTCTTCTTCCGGGACAAGGAGAACGCGCGTCGCGGAAAAAGGGAGGGCCGCGATTTTTCCGAGAAATACCGGAGACGGGGACAAGAAAAAGAGGGACTCGTATTTGCGCTCGAGAAGAGATCCTCGGGCGTGCTTCCTTTGAGAGATGAATGCTTCACGAGCTGCCGCGGGAAAGAAGGGACGAAGTGAAAAGGGAGACATAGTTAAACGATCGGGAGATAGGTTGAAAGAGAGAAAGTTTTGGAGGGGGGGGGGTTTAGTTAGGAAGAGGACTTTTCCGGTAAACGCCTAGCCTTTTTCAATGAGAAATACGAGGTCGGTGTTGTGTGCTCTCTATTTTTTATTTCCTCGTCAAGCTTGGTCGTCGACATCGTGTTTTCAGTACTCTCTCCGACAGTGAGTTGCGAGTGAAAAGATTTCCCGACGTCAGGTCGAATTTGTTTCACTAGAGAATTCAATACCCGACTTCTCTTCTACGCTCGGAAATTAATTTC